AGGTAGAAGTAGAAGTAGAAGTAGCAGTAGTAGTAGTAGTAGTTGTTGTTGTTGTAGGAGAAGACGACAAGCTCTTGTAGTAGTAGACGACAAGCACAAGTCACACGCACAAACGCAACAAGCGAAGTCATGCTCTGATAAAATGACAACAATAACAACATTTTTTGAAGCAAGGTGTACAGCTATAGAAATGTAGTGATAAGAATGATGATGTTTAGAATGCTACTACTCAAATTACTCAAACCAGGATCATATCATAAGTACGCGGTGCCTCGGCTCCGACCTGGATGTTAGAACATGCCATGCCATGGGGAAATCCGAAATTGCCGAGAAGCCTATGGTCCAGGGATTGGGGTTTGAAGGGTGCTTCAAGGTTGTCTAGGGCCTGTCGCGTATGGGGTTTCGACACACCCTCGCTGAAGGCAGGCACGGGCTCAGGCGCAAGGTCCACTCGGGGTTTCGGGTAGCAAAACTGGCGATAATCCTGACACTTTGCAAGAAAGTTCAATATGACATCTATGTCATCTATGACCGTTGATAATCAGCAATGAGAGTGTGTCAAACTTTATTTGTACCCGAAGGCTTCCTCAAAAATCCGTTAGCCTCCGGACGAGCCTACAACAGGTACTAAAGAAGAATATCTGGGTGCTGGCGAGGGTTAAGGATTATGGTCTGGGTTCGGAAGGGAATTCGGTTCGATGGCTTGGCGTGCTCAGGTGCAGGAGTCAGATTCATGACTTCACATGCACTTTTCTCAAGCAATCCGACATGCCTTAAGCAAGCGTGGTGTCGGTGGCGTCTTGACTGAGACATCGTACTTCGAGAAGTCTGCCATACAGGTTGCAGTCCGAGGCATGAAGCCGCCATGCCAATGTGGAGGAGCTTGGGCTTGCGCGGGCCCGTTTGTCTGCCGCAATTCCCAGTGACTTAAGAAGATCGGTTGGACGCCCGGCAGCTTGCGGGGCATGTGCTCTCGAACGGCAATGCAGAACAGCGACAACTCTGTGGGCAAAGTGATGCAAGTGGTCGAAACAGGCCTGGGTGGCCATCACAATACGCGGCACCGAGGAAGCCGTCCGCGGGAAATTGCAACAACATAGGACAACCTCCGGACAACATTGCCTGGATGCTTTGGTTTGCCGTGGCGAATGCTTGAAAACTCTGTATATCTTGGCCCAAGAAGCCAGATATCGCTGGCCCATAATTAAGCCAAAAGGATCGCCAGCTGTGGTGCTCCGGAGGCACATCCTGACAGCTGCTGTTCTGCAGCCGCTGCTGGCCCAAAGCAACACATGTGGGTGAGCAGCCCTGCGCCGCCACTTTGTACCAAGGGGAGCTATACGGATCTAGGCACCCGCAAGTGTCAGCGCACACCCAGCGCAGCAGGCGAGACTCGGCCAAGTTACAGAGATCGCTCAGCTCGCCGCAGCTTGAAGCACCAGAACGTCCTACACTTGTAGCTGCATTATTCAAAAGCCGTCTGGCCAAGAGTTGCGTCTCTATGTCCGTGCTGAACATACCTCCTTGGTTCAGCGCATGCACCTCAACACAGAACTGGGCATTTGAGGCTTGCTCCGCCATGTTGCGAGTGCTTTCTTCTTCAAACAGGGCCTTGTTCGCAGAAAAGAGGATGTAGGTGGAACCGGATGCATCCGGCATGCTCTCCGGTGAGTTGGCTTTGTGAGAGAAAACAGCAAGCTCAACGGGCGAAAGGCTGCCATAATCGCGGGATGCCGTCGTAGACAGACCTAGGCTGTCGTTGGAGGCCCTGCAAGAACAGGATCTTCTATTCCGTCATGTGAACATACCATACGAAATCAGTGGATTTTACGTACAGGAAATGGCTAGAAACCGTATGGTATCTGGGTGTCTTCATTGTAGCGGACAATGAATGTCTGTGTTCCACCACACAGCTCGTTCTTCACCTTCAGCATCGTATCACCCAAAGGAACCAGCAAAGAGAAATAGACCACAAGAATAAGAGCAACCAGAGAGACGAAGTGCACTAGGGATTCGAACTGGCTTCGGCACCGGCTGTAGCTGACTTGTACCGGCTCAAGTCGATGTATTCTCTGACGGATCTTTATGGGGGCCATGCCCTCGAATAGGAATTCATCAACGTCTAAAACGGCATTGAGGGCCACTGCGTTCAGCATCAACTCCTCGATGCTTGTTGTTCGAGCCAGCCAAAGAATTCCTGCCCCCATCAAGAGAGACGCGATCACTGCCCGAACCAAGTAAATGATGAGCAACACAACAAAGCGAGACCAAGATAAGCTCTGAAAGGAGTTGTTGCGGAACACAGAGAGATGTGACTTGGGAATCTCAATCGTCGCCTCTAGCTGCTGCCAAATCTTGCGAAACTCCTGCAAACGTGGATGCAAACAATTGGACTAAACGACTATAGGGGCCTAATGAGTAGAATAGCTGAGTATTATACGACGTAGTTGAAACATAGTTCGGAGCCCATGGGACTAGGCTTGACCATATGTGTGTGTGTGTATATATATATATACATATATATATATATACATATACATACATATACATATTATTGTTGGTTGCGCAGTGAACACATCGCATCGCAGTGGCAGGCTACTGTCAGCCCCACGCCCAAAATCCTTGGTTCAGCCCTGTGCCTGGTAGATGCACAAGCTCCAAAAGACAATACAAAGGAGACATAGAAGCATACCCGGTTGCCAAAAGGGGTACTCAATCTGCGTTTTCTCCAGGCCGAGGAAGCTGTTAATGTGATTGACGAGTATCGCTTGGGTTGTGGACAGAATTAGTGCTGAGTCACCATTGCAAACTCTGGATACCAAGCTGGTGGATGATAGGTCCAGATACTTGGCATCGTGCGCTACACTTGTACGCCAGATCTTGGCGCTGTCAATCTCCTTCTCCAATCCGTCGCCCATGAACCCTTCCGAGAGAAGAACCCAGGTGAAAGCAACCTGCATAAAAAGGTTCAGCAAAACTAGTATGATCGCAAAGGCATGGTCGAACCAGCCCGCATCAACCAATCCAATCAGTAGTGGAACGCTCCATGTGCTAGCCTCGAAGCAGACTTCGGTAAGATCCCCCGGCTCTTGATCAGCGGGGCTAAGACCCCCTGCTCCCGTCGTCACCTCCAGGGAAGACTGCTTGGCCTCCGGAATCTCTGCCTGGCTTGCCTTCGGAAGCCCGAGGGCCTCCTCAATGGCCGCCAGGCGGACCAAGATACTCGTAACATCTGCTTCAAGGCCCTCCCGCAGCCGCGCAAACTGATCCTCAAGGAGGCCCGGCATCTGAATGCTGATGCCTTCCGGTTCATCGGCATCTTCAGCAGCCTCTCTCTTCTCTGGGATGCGAGGCTGTGGCATGGCTGCACTGTGTGAAAACCACTGGCTGAACCTTTGTCTCAATTTTCCGGGCACTACAGTGGACTTCCCCGGGCAGCGTCACAAAACCTGGTCAAACTTCATGGGAGAAATGTTCAAAACAGGCACATGACTCGGAAAAGCAGCCAGGAACAACTTTCAGCCAAGGACTTGCTGCGGGACCGTCCCCGCGGCAGCTTCTGTACAGTGCACCCTGAACTGCATGCGAGTAGTAACCATGTTTGCAACATCGTTTCTCAAGGCAAATCTGCTTCTTCCGAGCATCTCAAGCTGTATGGCTTTCGGCTTAGGGTGAGGGTGTGTCTATATATGTATAGACAGGCACTTGTTTCATGAAATATTTGCACTTACATCTATACTTATTCTTAAAGATATACAGATAAGCATGGGGATATTTATATACACACATATATATATATATATACACATATGTATGCGCATGTGTATATATATATATACATATACATATACATATACATATACATATACATATACATATACATATACATATACATATACAAAACATATACACAAACACATACACATACATATACATATACATATACATGTGCAAATACATATATAAATAAATATATATATATACACACACACATAAATACAATGATGTATATACCACAGACATGACATCTTGTGATGCACATGACACTTGGGGAGCACAAAGTTTCCCAGCGGCCTTCTTGCCGCCATGGCCATCCAGAACCCCAAAGAAGGCGCGCGAGCCTGAGCAGCTGAGGCTTGTTCCCCTGAGGCTCAAACTGACCCGACAGCCTTTGGTGGTACGGTTCTCGGACTCACGGCGAAGATGTGACTTCCAAGGAGGGATATAATATATTATACATTTCACCAACGGAACACACAATTCCGGCCACTTCTTGTCATAATCCCGCTGCGCCCGACGACCGTCGCCTTAGAGCCCCGACTACACACAGCCAGAGCCTGGTGGAGTAGCCTTTGAAAGAAACGGCCCCGGTGGCGCCTTCCTGGCCCGTCTCCAGAAAATGCGCGTCCTGGAAAGCAGGTTGCATGTGCAACTGTACTTCGTCGTAGCATGGGTTTACTACAGCCTACTGCAGCCGACTTCATGACCTCTGGCGAATCACTGTGGCTTTCGTAGCACATGTGGCTCGTCTTTGCACGTCCTCGTGAGTGATGCGCCAGCCCTGCATTTCGGCCACCGCAGCGCGCCATTTACAGGACCCTGGCATCAGGACGGAGAAGTTTCAGGGTAAGGGGTCTGAATGCCGAAACTGTCTCAGACTGCATCGGATCCAACATTCTGACAGGTGGAGCGGTTGGCGAGATGTCACTGCCGCAACGACGATGTAACCTGAGGTTGTGAACCTACATGCCCTGAATCTTCCAATCACCTCCTTTCACCGAGCTTGAACAAAGGAGCAAAAATCCTTAGACCACACGGCCTTGTGAGGTGCGGCGTTCCACACGAACGGCATCGATGGGCGACGAAGCGAAGGCGCCCATGGCTTCACGTTTTGCAGGCCCAGGGCTTACAAAGCTTCCGGTTCGGTGTTGAGGCTGCGAGTAATTTTTGAGATAGGCTTCGAGCTCTCATCACTCGCTGGGGATCGAGTGTAGGTTCTGGAGCTTTGGGGTTTCAAGCTGCAAAAGTCGGGGAGGTTACGGACTCCCGAGCCGAGGGCAATAGGTCTCGAGCTGAAACACGCAAGGCTCGTCCAAGTTCTACTATCCAATTTCCCCGTCCAAATAAATATAAAGATATGTATAATATATATATATATACATATATATATATGTACATATGTATGCATGTATGTATGAATGTATACATAGGTTCTGCCCAATGTGTATGTGTATGTGCCTAGATAATCTATAAGAAGAAGTTCGCAGAGGCTAGGTGTTGCAAACTGACGAGGACACGCGTGCATGATGGCCCTAAATGCTTGGAGCTATGGCTGAATCAGGGAAAGGAAACTGCCGAAATAACACAGCAGCATTTCTCACATCGAGCGGTTGCCATGTGAAGGCGGTGTTCAGATTATTTGCAAACAGTTGGTTTGGGCCCCTTTTTGAGTTGTGAGCTTCTACTCGTGCCTTTCTATTGCCCTTTTTTGAACCCAGACTCTGCCACTATTGCCCTATCCCCCAAACCCTAACAACCCCGCCAAAACCTGGCTGGTAACTCATAGAGACTGTGACCTGATCAAAGCGTCGGTTCAGATTGTCCAGGATTGTCTGGACTGCTCGCCGCTGTCCGTCGGCATGGGACCAGAGTCCAAGATTCCGTCCCAAGTCGGACTCCTCTGACACTCAGAGCCAACAGGATGCCCGTACATGCAAGCCAGCCCGCATATCACAGATATGTCCGGAACACTCCTCCAAAAGCTTCTGTCTCCATGTAAGGGCGTTTCGGCCGGACTGCGCATGGTTTTGGTTCAGGGTCGATAGGGAGTGCCTGGGGTTGTGTCGGAAGACAAGGATTCACGACGACTGGTCTCTGAAGAGCTGGAAAAGACACAACAACCTGCTTCAGGAGGCTATACAAACAAACAGTCGAAGTCATTCGACGCTGCAGATTCGGATTTTCCGACGGTTGATAGTTATGGTAGTGTTGGGTATTCGCGCAACAAACGAGTCTGAAACAACCAAGCCCTAAAACCAACAGGCTGAAACTTAAGACAAACCGACACAGCCTGCAAACATTCCAAAGAACACTTCCTACGCGCCAAAGGCACGAATGCCAAGGCACCCACCACCATGGCCAATGAGTGCTGGAACCCGACGTGAAGCAAAGGCGCTCCTGACCAAACAGCGCAGCCACTGCAAAAACGACCTCAGGTTGCTAGCAGAACCCTATCAGAGTACACTGTAGAATATTGTGGTAGATATAGTAATATTAATATATATATATATATGTGTGTGTGTATATATATGGGGTCGATATACGTTCTATGATTGTAGTACTGTAATAGCACTTTATCATATTTTCAATATTATAGTCAATTATAGTATACATGGCAGCACATAAAAGAGCTGCTGGTATTTGGCATGCTTCCTCAGTCGAGAAGTATGAGTTTCGCAGCTCTGCGCTGAAGTCTGCGGTGTAGCATGGAAGTTTGAAGAATCGACCAAGGGTTTCGCAGATTTCAATACTTTAGTTACTTCTATCAGACTCGACTTCTATACTTTATTACTTGCTAGTTCTAGCAAGGAGGGCTGTGGAGCATTGCTTTTAGGCCGCTATGTAAGGGGTCAGGACCAAACCCACATCACCGTCGCATCTGACAAAAGCGACACCAGGCCATCCGAGCATCAGATGAGTCGAGAAGCGTCCGTCCCTAATCAGCCCTAAACCTGTCCCTGCCTTTCCGTTTAAAAGACGGGGCCTTGGAAGTACGCTATACCGCTATACAATAGGACTACGGGGGGATGTAATTACCATTTACCGTATTCATACCCCTAGTAGAGGGGCCATTGGAGTCCGCGGAAAAATAGTGCTAGCAAAGGGTGAAGTGTAGTCTCGCCCGCTTCAGGCAAAGCATGCGCGATGATCTGGTCCTATATGGCATTGCACGCTTTTGATGCTCACGCTCGGCCTGCGCCAAGCAAGGTCTGCGAAACGGATTGGAAAACAGCAACTTTAAGTCTTCCGGGCAAGAACCCGAGAAAAACATGAACCAGCCCAAAACCCGAAAGAGTACAAGCCCTCAACTCCGAAACCCCATAAAGCCGAAGCCGGAAATCTCCGGGCTTTTGAAATCACAGCAGGGTAGCATTTCGACCCAATGATTGGACGAATTCAGGCAGCCGCAGGGCGAGCATCATCAGCATCAGCTGGAATTTCGTTTAGACGCACGCTCCCATCTCCCGGCCTTTGAACACAAAGCAGGGTAGCAGTTCGACCCAATGATTGGGCGAATTCAGGAATCCGAGCGGCGAGCATAGCATTCGGACCCAGTGATTGGACGATTTCAGGGAACCGCACGCCGAGCATCATCAGCATCAGCTGGAATTCCGTTTAGACGCACGCTCCCATCTCCGGACTTTGAACGCACAGCAAGGTAGCACTTCGACCCAATGATTGGACGAATTCAGGAAACCGCAGGGGGAGCATCATCAGCATCAGCTGGAATTCCGTTACGCACGCTCCCATCTCCGGGCCTTTGAACACACAGCAGGGTAGCATTTCGACCCAATGATTGGACGAATTCAGGCAGCCGCAGGGCGAGCATCATCAGCATCAGCTGGAATTCCGTTTAGACGCACGCTCCCATCTCCGGGCCGTTGAACACACAGCAGGGTAGCACTTCGACCCAATGGACGAAGTCAGGGAACGGCAGGGCGAGCATCATCAGCATCAGCTGGAATTCCGTCTAGGCGCACGCTCCCATCTTCGGGCGGCAACCGCAGGGCGAGCATCATCAGCATCAGCTGGAATTCCGTTTAGACGCACGCTCCCATCTCCGGGCCTTTGAACACACAGCAGGGTAGCACTTCGACCCAATGATTGGACGAATTCAGGGAACCTCAGGGCAAGCATCATCAGCATCAGCTGGAATTCCGTTTAGACGCAAGCTCCCATCTCCGGGCCTTTGAACACACAGCAGGGTCGAAGTGCTCAATGATTGGACGAATTCAGGGAATCTCAGGGCGAGCATCATAAGCATCAGCTGGAATTCCGTTTAGACGCAAGCTCCCATCTCCGGGCCTGTGAACACACAGCAGGGTAGCATTTCCACCCAACGGACGAATTCAGGGAACGGCACGGCGAGCATCATCAGCATCAGATGGAATCCGTTTAAACGCACGCTCCCATCTCCGGGCCTTTGAACACACAGCAGTAGCACTTCGACCCAATGATTGGACAAATTCAGGGAACCAGAGAGCGACCATCATCAGCATCAGCTCGAGTTCTGTTTAGACGCACGCTCCCATCTCCGGGCCACACAGCA